AATCAGCATGATACTGGCAAAAAGTAGACTTGAAGATCAAGGTAACAGATTAGATGATGGAGACACAATAACAAACACACTCAGCCACCTTATCTTTGACAATGGGGCCAAACATATTCACTGGAAGAAAGATAGCCTCTTTAATAAATGGTGCTGGAAAAATTGGCTTTACACATGCCAAACACTAACACTAGACCCACGTCTATCACCACGCACTAAACTAAAGTTAAAATGGATCAAAGATCTAAATATCAAAACAGAAACCCTAAATCTACTGGAAGAGAAAGTAGGTAGAAATCTTGAAGGCCTAGGGATAGGCAGAGAGTTCATGAACAAAAACCAAACTGCACCGGAAATACCTCAAAGGATCAACAACTGGGATCTCATCTTATTGAAATGTTTTTACTCATCAAAAGAAATCATCAACAGAGTAAAATATAAAACCCAAGATAAGAAGTGGGAAAAAAATTTTAGCCAACTGTCCCTCAGATGAAGGACTTCTACCTAGAACATATAAAGAATTAAAACAAAATCAGGACCCCAAACTTCAAAGACCCAATCCAAAAATGGGCATCTGAGATGAATACACAGTTCTCAGATGAAGAAATACTAATGGCACATAAATATAAGAAAAATGTTCGACATGATTGTTGATTTGAGAAATGCAAATTAAAACAACACTGAGATTCCATCTCACTGCAGAAAGAATGGCTATCATTAAGAAATCAACCCATGGCAAATGCTGGAGAGGCTGTGGGGAAAATGCTGGTGGGAGTGTAGATTGGTGAAACCACTGTGGAAATCATTGTGGAGACTCTCCACAAAACTAGCATTAGAAGTCCCACTTAATCCAGCTATTTCCCTCCTGGGTATTTTCCCAGAAGAATTAAAAACATCATACCATAGCGATATCTGTGCACCCATGTTTAAAGCAGCACAATCTGTCATAGTTAAATCTTGGAAACAACCCAAATGCCCATCAACTGAGGAACTGATAAAAAAGGGTGTGGTATTTTTATACAAAAGAGTGTTACTCAGCTATAAAAAAAAAAAAAGAAAGAAAGAAAGATAGCCAGGCATGATGACGTACACCTGTAATCCCAGCACTCAAGAGGCTGAGGCAGGGGGCTGGGGATTTAGCTCAGCGGCAAAGCGCCTGCCTGGCAAGCGCAAGGTCGTGAGTTCGGTTCCCGGTACCGGAGAAAAA